GTGGGATGCAATAAATTCATACCTTTAAAAATGCAATCTTCTGCTTAGTTCACCAAGACGTCTCTTTCTGGTCCAAGGTAAACTTCATTCGACGTGTTTCGTTCTGGTAACAATGGTTCCCGCCCGCACAGCTAATAATCCAGACAGCTAACGCAGACGTATTTCCGGTTGTCGCTTAACACAAACAACGGGAAAACAAGATCAAAAATTCCTCTGCCCCTAGGCCCTAGCCTGCGAGGCTTTCTCTCCTCGTTCCTTTTCGCTTCCTCGTTTAGTAAGATTTATTTAACAGTTGTTTTAAACTATTGTGTAAAAGGGGTACCATTTATTAATAAAAGGTATCTACCTTTTAAGTACCCACTGGGGGGGGGGAGGGGGCAACTCTAGGTCTCCGTTTTACTGAAGTGTCCGTTCAGAGAGAGCCGACTGTATCGCAAACGTCTTCTATATTTGGACAATGCTAACTGGCTTTAAAGAATTAGCCGGAGAATTTGAGCCAATCAGGAAACGGAGAAACATATTGAATCATAGGCGTACGGGCAATTTTTTGCCAAGGGGGGGCGGTAAACCATTTGCCCAAAAAATTCTTGCAAGTTGCCCAAATTTTTACAAAACAGTCGAAAAGAAACGAGGGCCATACGATGCAGCAACATAGGCCGTACTGGCATATGAAAGTGGCTTGATACAGTTTTTCAGGGTCAATACCTGCCAAGTTTGAGCATAAACTACATAGCCATTAACATTTGGAAAAATTGCCACCACAGTTGTGTCAGATAAAGATGAAAATTTGTTATCATCAGGGTTGCAATGACATTGGAGTTGTCATAGCAACAAAATGACACCCTTACCTATTATACATGCAGCAATTTTTCTCACTGGGAACTGTTCTAACAAAATAGTTCACAGAAGGTTTTCCGTCCAATAGTCGCCTCGATGTTCGTGAAGTTAAAACGGAATCTGTAAGTACGTTATCGAGATATTTTGGGATGACGTTTTTATCGTTAGAAATACGGTAAAAAAAGGAAAATCTTGATGTTTGGCCGTTATCTGAAGAAAACAAACCGCTTTTGACACGTAATTTCACCTGATATTTAAAAAACGAGGGAAAGGTCATGGAGATATATAGCTCTGGCCAATTGGTAAAGGAAGGATTTGATTAGTATGTATCATGGCGCCCTTGTTAGCGGTTTGTCAAACATTTCGGTCTACTTTAACAAATTAATGAATAATTTTTAAACCGCTCGATAGATTTTTTAAAAAAAATTAAGATTCTTCTCGTAATTCAAACTGAGAATTAGTCAGCCCCTGCACGTTTCACTTTCAGACCCACTCCTGAAGCTATCTGCCATACACTGTTCTACGGGCGGAAGTGATTCTAGTAAGTTATGCGGAAGTTTATTCTAATCAATTCAGCCCATTCCAGCTAGTGCAGTGCAGCACAGTACCCAACATAAAAAAAAACAGCATATGATACCCTTCCCTTATAACCAGAAACTCATGCATCACGTGCTAGGCAACCACCGTTTCGTGTGAATGTAACTGGATTATTACGCCGACTTCAGGTTAAAATAGAAAATATTTATCTCTTCAAAATAATAATAACGTACGCCTATGTGTTGAATGACAAATTTGGTAAAGTAATATGCCTGTATACTCGTGTTAAGGATTCTTTTAGAACAAGAACAGCCAAATGTACAAATGCTCCGGACTGATCTCCATACATTTCTTTAAAGAATGAGTCGAGAGAATTTGTTTACAAATCAAAGCATTTTCCCTATCACAACCTTTTTCCTCGATTATGCATTTTTATAGCCTGCTTCGCAGATAGCCAGTGCCCTATATAGACAATACCGAGCTCTCTATCTCTATCTCCCAACAAAGGATCTTGATCAGAATCCACCCTATAATAACCTAAAAACCTTAAGATTCACCCAAGAAACGCTTGAAGTCTTTATGTCAATCACATCTTAGCCAAGCTGCGATACGGCGACCTCGTAGTGAAACGATCAATGGTCTTCAATCTAGACCTGCACACCACACTTTTTGAATCCCAGCAAATCCTTTAACTCTGTCAAAAGGTCAAGAATGTTTAAGATACTCGATGCACATGTGATGCCACAAACTCTTATTATTATGCCACTGAAATCATGTACAAGGAGAATACAGCCAAAGTTGTCACACAGAACGGCAGCCGTAAAGAGGGGAATTGCAAGTATACAAAGTGTTGACTGTTTATTAAGAAAAAAGAATATGGAATTTATCCACATCTAACTTATGGTATTACAAGCTGGGGCAGTGTTTGTAAGACCAGGTTATAAACGATTTTTAAAAAACAAACAGAATAAATGCGTTCGTAGCATTTTCCTTGTTCATAGCTCTCTTTTATCTTTTACTTGAAAATGCCTCGAACGCCTCTGGAGAGAGTGATTTTAAACGTAATATTATAAATCTTCCATTTATATCGAGCTCCACTACTTCTGCACGAAGTGGAGAGTTTGGTTTAATGAGGATACACATGCCTTTGGAATGATCTAATTCAAGCGAATAAAAAAATTTGGACACGCCATTCCGCTGACCAAAACTTCTTATCTATAGGGTTTGAAAACGTCTCTTGAAGAAAATACACGTTAGCTTATTGGTTTCCAAATGTAAAAATATTGATCTTCTTTTTACTCGACTTCTTAAGCTTCTCACATATTAGAAACATGCGTCCATCTTGGGCAGCCGCTCGACCCAGTCAAACAAAGCTCGGTTATATAAGGAAAAAGGGGGATTGAACTATGATGAACTATATCATAACTTTTTCGGTTTTAACGCGATGCCTACGAAACTTTGCAAAGAACTAAAGCTATTATTCGGCAATAATATGAAATAATCCGATTTTACTGGTGGTTAATAGTTCTTTTACGAAATCAGCACCGGCTTGAGTGGACCCTGCCTTTAGAAGACAAGGTGTCCGGTTAAGGCAGAAGTCTGCAACTAGAAACAGGGGCACCCAACGAGAATATAGTTCAAAACCACTTAAACGTAGCATTGTTAAACGTATTTTAGTGTTTAAACGGTAGATACAGGCATACTACTATCCCCTAAAAATTTTTCATCTCTTCGGATTTACTAGCTGAAAGTCCAGTGATTCGAAAATTCTAGGGATCAAAACTTACCTTTTCGAAAATTTCAGCCAGAAAAAAAGGCTCCCGAAAATTCTAGGTGACGTTTTTAGGGTAAAAATCCGTTAAAATGGGCAATTATACTATTTTGTACATGTTCGAAAATCCTAGGAGAGACAGGTAAGCAAGAAATTTTACCACAAATGTTCCGAAAATTCTAGCCCTCAAATCGTCTTCCGAACAGATATTCTCCGAAAATTGACGTTGGGTGCCCCTGCTAGAAACTCATTGAAACTTCAGCTTTTAAAATGTTTCGTTTTGTTTTGTTTTGCTTTGAGGTAGAACGAGCCACAAATTCGAATTTTAGGGACAAGTATTTGCAGTGCCTTCTTATCAAGAAAAGCGAGCCGATAGGCAATCGTACCATTCCTCAAAAAGAGCTCTTCAATTTTGATAACGAAACCACCTTAAATGGTTATCAATTATTACTACTGCTAGGAATTTAAAATAATCGTGGCATTGAGGAAACGCCAACCTATTTATCACATCTGCATTGTTCTACGTTCTCAGGCATGGCTCCTGAAAGTTACATTACACTTAAATCTATATTAAACAGGCCTAAAGATTTCTTTGCGTTAATAGTTGTTTTATTGGCAATTAACCAAATGCAAAAAATTAAAGTAACTAAGACCCTGTTTACATGGAGTGGGGGAACCCGGTCTAGTGGGGTAGGTTTCTTTTGTTTTGTCTCCCCCAGAGCGTGAAAACAAAAGAAACCAACCCCACTATACTGGGGTCCCCCACTCCATGTAAACAGGCCCTAAGGTTTCCAAGGAATTCAGATTCGTTTCAGAATACAATAGGTCTGTATCAGCCAACAATTTATAAAAACTGAGCTTATTGGTCAAAACTATAAATTAAGAAAAGTAAAGGGCCTAAATCAGAGTCATGGAAACTCCTCCCAAAGCGTTCTTCTAAAATAAAGTGGAGCTTCCATAAAATGAACCTCTCCATAACACAGTCCTCAGCATAACGGACCCTTGCCCCAATGACAGTAAAATAAACAGGGGCACCGAACGACTGTTTTCTGTAAAATATCTGTTCGGAGAAGCAGATTTTCCCTAGAATTTCTTATTGCTTGAATAGGGCCAGACATTTCTAGGTGAGCGTTCCATTCAGGTACAATTTTCGAAGCTTATTTAAAAAATTCCCTACGATTTTCTGAAGTTTAATGTTTCATATTTTACTCCTTAATTTAGGCTAATTTTCGTAGAAAAAGGAAACCTAAAAGTTTCGGATTCAAAAATGTGATAGAGAGAGGAATAAGAAAAATTCTCACTTCCGTAAAACGTTCAATTGCATCTAAAATTTTCGGAAAAATAACACTCAGGCCCTTGTAATTTCGAAAAGCCTCAAGGTCTCAAGGATGACCAAACAGAAACAAATGTTATAGCGCCGCTTAGAATGCATTTCTAGGGATCTAAAAGTACTCTGGATAGCCTAAAAAGACTTTTCAATGTATTTAGCAGGAAACCGTCATTGGGCGCCCCTGAAGAAATGGTAAAGACAGTGTAATTAACGTTGATCTATCACGAAACCTTTTTCTAGAGGACATTACAATGTATGTTGCCAATTCCTTGGCCCTTCATAACATCGAGGTGTAGAGTATTTTGTCAACTGCAACAAAAGCCTTATTATTTAAAAAAAAAATCGAGAAATTTTTTGGAAAGCTAAATTTCATGATACACTTACGACCTTGACTGGTCCCTAGTAAAACAACAATTATTTCCCAAGGGACCAGTCATGAAGTGATTTAATAAATTTCAGTGAGCAGTCAATATTCATGGGTAAAGGGGAACGGTTACCCTTTCAGGTCATAGATTTTGCCATTTTGCCTGCTCAGAGACTTTTTCTGGAAAAACAGTTTTATTATTAGACGTCATGCGATCTCAAACTAATCAATAAGAGTAGACAATGTTACAGAAAAATTCCATTAAAATATGACACTATATAATATAATAGAATACCTCTATATCAGTGATAGTTTCTGAAGCAACTTTGGTTTGTTTCCAGGCTCAAAATACAGTTAAACCTCCATGTGCGACCACTTCTTGTAAGCTATCACCTCCAATATGTGACCACCAATCCAAAACACCCAATTTTCCCAGTCAAAGCTCTACCACCTCTCATGAGCCACCACAATCACTTTTGCTGGGAGTTTTAAAATTTTTGATGCTTTTTAACCTCTCGTAAGTGACCACTTGACGCATCGTTTGCTTTATATACTACACCACCCACAATATACAAAGATCCTTCAGTGACAACATAAAACTATACATATCATAAACTTAGAAATTGCATGCAATAAATTCTCTTCCAAAAGGTATATGTGTGGGAACCTCTTTTCAAAATAGACCCCCTGTGGGTCGATTCTCGCAAGCAAATAACTCTCGTCAGTGAACACTTAATCCTCACTCCTTGGGTGGTCACATACTGACTTCAATTAATTTTAAACTGGTTAGTGGGATATTATTTACAGATACCACCAAATTCCTAGGCCAGTTATCAAGGTGGCTGCCACTAAGTTCATTATTTACTGGGTCAGCATTTTTCGCAGGACAGGCAATGGGTATTCTTTTTCACCAGCTTTCTCCTTCTTTTGTTCATTACTAACTTGTACCATACTCTCCTCAGAGCCCATCCTTGATTTATCTGATCCATTATTCGTGATGAAATTCACCTGGCACCAGGAACCAGTTAAGCTAGACTCTGCAATTGCATCAAGAACAGCACGTGTATGCAGGCCTATACGAGAAAAAAATTGTTTATGATGATGATTTTTAATTTATGTGTAATGTACCCAGGGGATACTCTGGATTTTAAGTGACAGAGATGATTGAATGGGGGCAAAAATCAAAGCCTGAAAAAATCCCCTGACCAAAATCTAACCCCCCAAAAAATCCCACGCTAAATTGCCGGCCCGAACATTTGTAGAAAGCATGAGTGAGCAAATAAAATTGTAAATCTGAATTAACCAATTAAAAAAAGATATAACATGAAAATAAAAACATTAGAAATTGAATGTGTACTTTATTCGCAGAGCTAATCTGGGCACTACCACGAATCTTCAGATTGTTCAAAAATTGGAATACCCAAAAAATCCCTACTTAAATCAAGCCACCCAAAAAATACTTGCCAAATTTTCCTCCCCAAAAAACCCTGCAATTGAAATTTCGAACCCAAAAAGATCCTTCGATCAACCCCATCACTTGAAATCTGGAGTACCCCACTGGGTAATATATAGTTAAGGAGGAAAGGCCCTTCTAATTTATTGAGGACATCTTAAAACTGAAAATACTGTTGAAACCCCTGTAAGAGGGGCAGCCCAAATGCTGTTGCCAGTGTCTCTTACCAGAAGTCAGTTTACCGTCAAACTGACAAAGTTGTGAGTACCTGGCGTTTTCTAGGAATGTTGAGTATGTAATGACCAATCACAGCAAAGATCAGGACATGTGAGCAAGCCACAAAAAAGCAAACTAACTACCATTGCTGTTTGACATTTTGTGTTACCACATTAATGATTGGCCGGGCTCTTTACTTGAAACACAATCAAATCCAGAAATAATTGATGGGTTCATGGTTTTGTGACAGCAATACCCCTCTTAACTTTAAAGAGTCCAGGTGTAATGAATATGTCATTTTGTTAGAAGGGATCATGTACACAGTGTTTTGAACAAGCCCTGATGGTTCAAGAAAAAGATTCAGATACAATTGAGAAGTGGTACAAGCAATAAGGATTTAAACAAACTGGATGTTATGGGCAGCTAAGGTTTGGATGGATTAAAGAGCACACAGTCAAAAAAATTAGTTTTATAACTAAACTGGAAGGAATTTGGACTGACTCACAAAATAGACAATTTCAATTTACTTTAGATTAAAAATAAATTAGTCAATTTTTACACCAGTGTACCATTTACTAACCATCTTCAAAGGAGGCTGCACTGGAAATAGTTTGCAAGTCAGCAATCCTACGATCATCTTTGTTAATGGATTCTTCAAATGCTCTTTTAATCTCTGATACCCATGCTTCAAGACCTGTTAAAAATATGCTGGGTGGAAGTTTTTCCACATTAAATGAACCAGGGATACGAGCAATGTCACCATAAATGAGTTCTTCCTTTCCTCCATTCTTCATTCCATACAAGTTACCATTTCTGGCAATAAGTTGACCTTTAGTGCCATAAATAGTAAGTGTCTGAGAATAACGTCCCGGTATGTGGGTGTTAAGAGTAACAGTAGCAAAAACACCACCATCAAGTTTCATCTGGAAAGCTGTGTAATCATCACTTGATATGTGCCGAAAGCTGGATATACTCTCCTTTTGAGTAACAAAGGTTTTCAAAGTGCCATGCACTTCAGCGGCCCTTTGATTGGTCAGGAAAGAGATGATGTCAATGATGTGAGCACCAACACTGGTTAGAACACCACCCCCCATGGCTTGGTCACACATCCAGTTGTACCGGTTACCAATCAACGAGCCCATTTCAATCTTACACTCACAGATCAGAGGCTCTCCACAGAATTCCTCCTCTTCTAGGTATTGTTTCATTTTTATAAAGGCTGGGAGAAATCTAAGCTCGTGTCTAATTAACGAAAGAAGTTTTGGATAATACTGAGCAGCATTAACCATTCTTACAGCTTCCTCTCTGCTGAGGCCAGCGGGTGAATCACACAACACATGTTTGCCAATAGAAAGAGCCTTCACTGCTACCTCGGCACGAACATGAGGTGGGCATAAAACACAAACCAAATCCACGTCTTCTCTCAGCAGCAGCTCGTCAATTTTACTTGTATGAAACGGAACCCTGTATTCATCGGCCATTTCTTGAGCTTGTTGCTTTGTGGAACCCCAAATACCACTTACTGTAAAACCAGCAGAACGCAAAAGCGATAACAGTATACGAGAAGAGTTGCCAGTGTCAACTACCCCAACAGAAGGCAGCATTTTTGTCGACTTGGGACTCTATTCTGCTAAATACTAAACTTTAATACTCTCCCCGGTTTGACGCCATCTTGTTTTGCACGCTCGGTTTAGACTGGGTAAGACTCGACATCATATTGCGTGATTGCGTGACGACTTTAATTGAAAGAGGTAAAGAACACGTTGAAGAACACGTGACGTTTTCCTTTTCAGCGTTTCCAACAAACTTTCGCAAGGTCTAGAGTCTCTTACGGCTTCCTGGTAGCCTGCTATCTTGCTAACCAAGCTCCTTGGAGGCCACATCTCAATCCCTGGGAAGTGGGTTGAGGGCGGGGGGCGGGGGGTGACTCTCGTTACCCTAACCCTTTTATGTACAGAGAGGGGGCGGGAAGATTTTAACTCAGTTCTTTTCCTGAATAAAAGCAACTCTCTTGATAAAAGGCAATCACTTGAACGTGTCCCGGGGGGCACTTAACAAAGATTTATACAGGTATGCTCCCGCCCAAGGTCCAATCCCTTGCCACTTTAAATATGAATAAACCACTAAAGCAGGAAGTTTTCTTGACTTTTCACAGCCATAAAATGCGTCTGTTTAATCATAGCCCTTTTAAGTCCTTTTACAGACTAAATGACAGACTTCCCTACCCTTTTATTCATCCTCTCTCCTCCGCAGAGGTCTTACTGGGATACACAGCGGAAGCCTCTACAGAGGAGTAGCCTGTATAACAGGCGCTTTATAAGCCAAACGAGGCGAACTCGTCATTTTGAACGAAGCGCGAAACGTGCGCCAACGCAAAATGCCGTGTTCGCCCTGCTTGGCTCACAAGGCGCCCGTAAAGAAGGCTAGCAGAGGAGAGAGTATCTCAACTAGTGAAACGCCGACCCTTTATGATCAGTAGAGCGTTCTCACTCACGTGGCCAGTAGCAGCTATGCAAATTTAATGGAACAAAAGAAAGTTTTTATACCAACATGGCCGCCGTTTCGTTGTTCTGAACAGAGTATGGTTTCCAGGGAATTCATGTAGCAGCTGTTCGAAGGCCCTTCAGGGGCGTAGCTACCTTTACGCTAGATACGCATGTGCGTACCTGAAAGAGTCGATAATCAATATATATAATTAAAATGGAACTATCTGAAAAAAAGTTAAAAACGCAAAATATTACTTAGACAATATATTTATCTCTGCTCGTTTCTTTGAATTTTTTTTTCCTAGAGCAACAGATTTGTTCTTTTTTACTATTGAACGTCCGTTTCCTGAAAAAACGCGTGAGTTCAGTTTTAGTATACCCAAAGAGCCTATGCTCCTGTGGACCGATATATTTAGAGGAATGGGTAAAAGGCGCAGATAAACCGCAGCCTAGAGAAGCCGGATCTTGGTGTAGATCAGGATCAGCAGTTAGTTATGAAGTTCACTTCAACATGTATATGGAGGAAGGCACTTTTTCCCTGGACTATTTTTCTCGAAACTTCGTGTACATATTAAGGACGACAACAACTCGCCACATGGTAAGATTCATCGATTTTTATTTCCATTTTCTAGCAAATTTCCAGACTAAAACTTCGCCCCACATGTTCTCTATATCTACTCATGTTATGAAACATATCCCGTACGTGACCCAAACAGAGAGCCTGGGTTACCTGTGGGATGTCACGTAGATTATTGAAACTGCGGAAGCGTGATATAAGAGGGGGAGAAGGAATTGCTTCTTTGCATCGTTGTGAAGAATGAAGAATGTTACGATTGCCAGTAATAATATGGTTTATGTTGGGAAGAGCTTGATTGAATGTTACTACTACAAATGGTACTCTGTCAGATTCCTGTCTTATGTTTTTTTATGAGGGCGTGGCTTCGTTAAAGAAGGCGTACTCTGTGAAACGGTGGTTATATCCTCTGTTAATGAGATGTGCGGTGAGTGCGTTGAGACGTTTGTTAAAGAAATCATCTGTTTTAATACTTTGCTTGAGAAGTTTCCGCAGTTTCCCTGAGGGATGCTGAAAGAATTTCTTATTTCCGTTAGTTTTTCGGATATAGGACAGGAAATTCAATTTATTCTGCTAATCATGGTTATTAAAAATTCAGAAGTTACAAGGCCTTTTACAAGGATAAAAAAAAATAAAAATACTTGCGACAAGGAAGGCTTAAAATGGAACGCGACCTGCATCCTGATTAGACAAATGATAAACATGCAATCAAATTTCCTGATGTATTTACATTTATGAAAGTGTATATATGAGCATGATCCATGATTGACCCGTGAACAGAATATTATCAGAATCTTTGGTTGTCTGGTGTAGACAAACGAGACTGTTTCAGTTTGGCAGATTGCCGGGGATGGTGAGCCTTAAATTTTTTATGATTTCAAACTGAAAAACTCATCGGATATACAAAACATTTATTTCTGTTAAGCCGGTAAAAAAAAATGTACATGTATTTCTCTTCTCTAAGACCTCTTAACCCGTAGAAGTTTTTCTGGCGCTTCCCAAGTTGATGTTACTTTACTGTCACAGCAATCAATCGATCGACATTTTAGTTGATTGTGGAGTGCCCTTTCGCAGTTAGCCTCCCACACAGGAAGGAGCGCCCCTAAAAACGCCTGCGTGGGAGGCTATTTCGCGTAGCGCAAGAAGTCAATGCACAAGCCTGTGCAAAGCAACCAAAGTTTAATAATTTAATACGTGAAATTTTACTGAAATTTCTAACACTAGGAGGAGGAAATGGTTTGTAAAAAAATTAACTACAGTCGAACCTTCTGTAAGCGACCACCTAAAATGCAAAGGTACCGGAGGTGGTCGCTTAGAAGAATACAAGAATTGAACCACAGAGGGTCATCTTCCGAGAAGTGGTCTGGGCACATCTTCTTTATAGAAGATAATTTATTGCATGCAATATCTAAGTTAGGCCATGTGTAGTTCCATGTTGTTAATTAAGTTCTTCGCATATTCTAAGTAGCATAGTGCACACAGCGAACATAGAGATCAGAGAATGAGTCAAATGGTCGCTTACAAGAGGTTAAAAACAATGGAAGATCATTAAACTTTAAGGCTCAAAAAGTGGTCGCAGTCGCTTACAGGAGGTGGTTGTTTACTAGAAGTTCCAACTGTAAGGCTTTTACTGGGAAAGTTTTGGTGTTTTGGATAGGCGGTCGCTTAAGGGAGGTGGTCGCTTACGAGAGGTGGTCGCACATGGAGGTTGGATTGTATAAGGCAGTCTAATTAAGCTGCTGTCCAAAGTAAATGGATAAGGAGTCGGGTCGAGTCGGAATAAAGTATCATCCTGGGCTATATTTATGTGCTGAAACATCAACGCTTAAGATAAAAGTACAGATTCTCTTAATCACTTTCCTGTCTCGTGATCTTTCTTAAGGAAATCGAGTCGATATTGAATGCGGAAGTCACCTCGCCGATGTCCTTTTCTCTTCATTGGTGGGAACATACTAGCTATTACCACAGGAACTGATTTAGTTCATTCTAAAACCATTGCTGACTAATTACATTCTAGCTAACCCTTTTCCCAAAACATACCTAGACTTAAAGCGGATTAAAACAAACTGAACGTTGTAACAAAATCCGTGCACTAGAATTGAGCCTCTTCCCATGTCTCTTGACACAGGAAGTTTTATTTAAAATTTTCTAGAGGGGAGTTTGCCACATAAAATTCTCTGATGTCATCTGTCAGGAAATTCTGGTACAAACCTGTCACACTCCCTAACTATAAGGAAGGAAAAACGATATCGTTTTCGTTAATACGGAACGGAATCACTGAGTCTTTGAGAGTCAACAGACACGAATGCCATGAGTGGACTGACTCCGGGAACTGACTTTTTAAAGTTGATTGTTCCTCGTAGATCTAACTAAGGTAAGTCTTATTCTCCAGAAATATGTCTACCTTAATTGGTACCGCAAGTTTGGACTATTCGATGAAATCCGCTTTAAATCTCTCCAATCGTGCAGGGTTCTCATGCACAATTATGTATCCAAAACGTGTCCATGAACTTGGACTGATTTTTCTGAGGTTAGAGGCGTTCCGCATTTTAATTACCTCTTCAATTAAATTCGGCAGTAAACGATTTGTCGCTTTAAACCCAACCGTAAGTTTCAGCGCTGACTTCTAAACAAATTGAACTACACTAGCGATGTTTCAAGCCGAGCCTGAGCGTTACGTGGCAAAAAAAATGCAATCTTGCAAAACAGTATTTCCGCCTCAGCAATCTTCGTTGTCTTGCCTGAGCATAACTGCTAACATAAGCAAACCGTAATTATTCTGGTCTTGGGGTTGCATATGAAATAACAACATCAGATGTTATAAACTTTGTTATGTTTCAACATGAACTATTTTGTGTTCTGTAGATCCATGGTTATGTTTATGGTTATGTAATTCAAATGACTTGCGCAGGCGCAGAGGATGTTCGTCTCTATGTTCTCTTTGGTTGGGAATCGAGAGGGGGACACTTAAAGGGGAAGGCGGGGCGCTGTCGAAAATTTCAAACCGTTTAAAAAGCGTAGAGTTATTGAGATCGTCGAGAACGGATTTAACGGTGAGTTCAATGTTGGCAATGCCAGAGTCACAAATGACCTGCCGAGGGATAATAAAAACAAAACTACTCTGTACATTACTAATTAGACTGTTCACAGTCCCCTATTTTTTCGTGAGATCGTTTAGATATACCGCGTCTTACCGTCACGGGTATCTTGATTTTCAAATGTACCGAGGGGGTGGGCGTCGCGGATTATAGCTCTGGGTAGGGGGGTGGGAGCGAGAAAACTAGAGGAATGAATGGTAAAAGGCGTGAAATTCCTGTCACGCCTCCTGAACACGAGCTGCGGTGATGTTATTACAGTCCCTCTATTTTTCTCGCTTCCTCCCAAACCGCCCCCGTCCCCTAAAGTGGTTTTGACACTCATGCAAGATGGCAGCACGTAACGCAAAGTTGCTCGATCTCGATGATCTTAGGGAAAAATAGAGGACTGTGAACAGTCTAATTACTAATTTTCAGTCGCATTTTCAGTTAAAAACGGTTTACAATAGGACAAAGTTGGAGTTAATTTGTGGCTGTTGCGTTAGACAGAAAGAACATTACATGGTATGCGAGATTTGAATATATGGCAAACCGAAAATGATAGGCTAATAAAAAAGATACATGTCAGTAATTAAGTTCATCAGGCATAGTTATACCATGAGGGTCCAGAAAGGCTCCACTAGTGACATTGCTCTGCCTTTCGACACGGCTGATACGTGTTAAGTTCAAACGATAATGGAAATAACGCACCCGTACGAAACGAATTCTCTTCGCTGTTTATATCTTCTTTATTACAGATATTGTTACATGAATGGCTCCCCCTGTCTGTCCAGGCAACGATATTACAATCCTTGATGAGGTCCTTGATGGGTACCAATGCAGGGAATGTCAAACTTGCCCCGCAGGGGAGGGACTGTCAGTTAACTGCGGAGACGTCATTACATCTCAAACTCCCGTTAAATGCCTGCCTTGTGTACTCGGTGAAACTTATTCAGGTGGAAATCAAGCTGGTGCATGCAAGACGTGCCAAACTTGTGATGAGTACCGAGAAACCATCAAAACTTGTACACTGACATCAAATGCAGAGTGTGGAAACTGCACGCAAAGGGCCTACTTCGACAACACCGTGGGAAGGTGCAAGCCATGTTCTCCTTGCTGTAATGATGGCGAAGATATTTTAGAGGCCGGATGTCAAGTCCCTGGAGTCGCGGCAAACATGCAGTGTACCTTTGCGCGATCTGAAAAGTGCAGCAAAGTAGCGGTGAGGAACGTAAGCATCAGCCCCTCGCCAACGCAGCACCCGACTCCATCATCCAGTGTCGGCATACCTTGGCCAACGACAACGTATCCCACAACAAAGAATTTAGATGAACCGTCTGGTCTCAGTGCCTCGGCTGCCACTTCCTCTTACTGGATTGCCGCTGGTGCTGGTGTTGCTGTTGCTTTCCTTGTGTTTTTGGTATTTTTGGCAATATTTTACTACCGCCGAAAAAGGAAATACCAAGAGAGGGAAACTGGCTTATCCGTTGAGGAGATAGAACGTCTGGAACCAGGCCAAAGTAATGAAACGGAGACAAACGACCGAGAACCTTTGACTGTGGCTCCCCCCGCACTAGAGCCCTCGACGCCCCCTGTTGAGGAGACCGACCAAATTCCACTTTCGATACAAGATTCCCAGCTACCATCCCGTATTGATACAACAGGTAACTGCGCTGTAGTTACATAATCAGTAAGAGCCAGGTCAGACCAAAACTGAACGAAATACTGGGTGCGCCATCTTTATCTTGTAATAAATAGAATAGACTGCGGCATCCTCTTTTAATCCCAGGCCTATCAACCGAAACACGTGGGAGAAAGAACAAATGACAACGCGTGCGTGTATGCGTGTGAAACAAAAAACGGATGTATCTTTTTGGGCGAACGCACCCGCGTTCACGCGTACTACTTTACTACGTCTGTTTAGTCTCTTGGTAAGCAAATAATCATTTTTCCGCGGTCGTCTGTTATTTCCTTCAAACAACAGATGAAAAAAAAAAGGAGTTTTAGTTATACAAGCCCAGGTTAGTCTTGGACGGTCCAAATCAATTTGTTTCCGCATGTGAAATCTTTCCCAGCTATCAATATGCGACCATCGACCCCAGAGGGGATGTTTCTATAAAGAGATAAGCTCCAAAAAAAGTTTTTATACTAGAAGCATTTGAGGCTTTTTAAGTTTTTAATTGACAACTCTTTCTTCCATTTCCTTGTTTAGATTTCAAAACTTGCGAGTCGTATGTAGACCCTCTGGTTATCCTCTCCCTTGAAGACTACAAAGAGACCGCGACAGCCCCCAGCGAGACTGGTGACGAGCCGGACGGAGTATGACGTGCGAACTTTTCTTATACTTATAGTCAATTATTTTGTTAGGGATGTCTTAAGTTGACTTTAATTTATCTGAGAAAAAATTACTGGAATGATAGTTCTGTTCTAAAAGAATATAATCATTTTTCCGGTCTATCACAAGTCAAAGATATTTTAATGTCATCGCCCGGACGTCAAGGCTGGTAAATTTTGAGGTATAATATTTAACATCTCCACTGTCATTGCGTGTAATTTCTTATAACTTGGTGGTGAGAAATTTCCTGCCCATAATTTCTTATCTTTAGTCTTTCAGGTAAGTTTTTGAAAGGTTTCCTTGAAAACAAACTTTTCATCAGAACCACAAGGCCACAACGCCGAAATCAAGGTCTTTCATTTTGCAGCCATATTATACAGTATTCCTCTTGTTTAATGATTCAACTGACAACTGACTATCATATAGTACGCTCGAAAATGATCAGCGACAGTCTCTCTTTTTGCCATGCATAGTGCGGAAGTAATCGGCTTTACAATGGAGTTAAATGTGCTTTTGTCAAACTTCATTTACTTGATTACCTAGTGTATGTGGAATATTATTAAAATTGCTTTAAAATAAAGAAATATCTTTTTAATGATGTTCGTGAATTTTTAAACGTCCGTCTTTGGGAAACACGACTATTTTTAAATCATCGTGGAGTGACTTCCTTCTCGGTGTGGTTTAGAAACGGAGTGAGCCCATGAAGAAAATCGGTTCCTTAGTGATAATTGACATGCCGACAAATGATTTCCTTAACAAACGTACCCGCGTCTACCCTGGGTGCCAGAGACTTTTCTAGCCCGGTTTCCGGTTTCTTCGCCGCTCATGGCTTCGGCCAACAGCGGGAATTCCCGCCGCATGCGAGAAAAACCTCTGGTACCCAGCTAGGGTAACCCGCGTCTCAACGCACTCACCACACATCTCATTAACAGAGGATATAAACACCGTTTCATCCAGGAGGAAATAAACGGCAAAGTACGCCTTATTCGACGCAGCCACGCCCTCAAAACATCCACAAGACAGGAATCTGACAGAGTACCATTTGTAGTAGTAACATTCAATCCAGTTCTTCCCAACATAAACCATATTATTTCTGGCAATCCATTCTTCATTCTTCACAACGATGCAAAGAAGAAGTTCCTTCTTCTCCTCTTATATCCTACCGCCGTGACATCCTAGTCAGAGCCAAACACCGCAGACCACCCCCCAAAACACCTGGAGCTTTCCGCTGTAATACTAAGTACGTACAAGAAAGAAGGCGTGTCCTTTTATCATCCTACCCCGGGCACAGACTCGTACCCAGTCGCTATTTATGTGTTTTGGGGGTGAGAGAAAATTGGGGGTTAGGTTGAGGCGCGCGGGGTGTCATGGGAAGGTACGAAGGAAATATAGCGTAATAGCGACGCTATTTTTCCCTTCGTCCCTTCACACGAGAAGGTACAAGTCTGCCCCGGGCATCCTACTGCCGTTTCATACCACTTCTCCCCTCCAGATCATTGCATCAGGGACATAGAACTAATTGGTCAGACAGGGACAGTATCCGTAAGGCCCGCGAAGGATTTTTTTAAAAATATCTAAAGGCAAAACACTTGAATCCTGTGGGATGAAGAGACGAGATGAAATTTAATCTATTGACACAGAGCTATTGACATATATTTTTATGTAACCTCTTTAAGCAAGTTTTTGTCTATTGTCCTCCACCTATCACATTTTATTTTTTATTTTTGTATTACATTTTATATACAGTAACCGTTTATTCTATTCTTGCTTAGCTTTTCTAGCCCCCGATAAAGACTAGCTTTGTTTAGTCGAAATATTGGGCAAATAAATTTGTAAACCTTACCTGTCCGATCAGCGTACTGACGTAAACATGGAAAACGGAAACGGACTTTGAGTGGTTCAAAGTTTATAAAGGCTATAAAAAAGCAAGCTTTAAGGTCGAACTGTAATTAGAATTTAAAAGACAGCTACAAAACTTTCCAATTTGAAGATCAGCTGCCCAAAAAACAAGTGAATTAAAAAAAAGCAGAAAAGAAAGGAAAAATGGACGATGAACGTCCCCGGAGGGTACTTCCTTATAATATGCTAATGAATGTGCCGCTGGATGGGGTCGCATTTTCACGACTGGTGTGACTATGATGGGGTCGAAGTTTTCAATAGAGTTACTAGAATGAGGTCGCACATTTTCTGATTTTTGGGGTAAGACAGTTCTTCATATTTACGGTTAGCAAACGTACCAGAATGTCTGTACTGTGAAAAGTAAAGTGTTCTTCATTCAATATAAGGTAGGTAGTTGGGATCGCGAAAATTACATATTCGCTCAAAAGTGACTAAGATGGGGTCTAGGGGCTCTCAGAGGCCAGCGGCACTAGCCTGTTCCATCGCTTTCTTTACTTCGCACCGCTCTCCACTATCTGAACGCTTGGAACAGGCCACAGCGGCACATACCCCCCCACCCCCCCTCTCCCATGTGAACGTCCGATGTTAGCTTGCGGATCCTGTGGCGCTTCAATGCGAGTCGATTCTTTCAAAGTTGGCAATTATTAGCAAAAAACATATTCTTCGGCTACGTTTTGCGATCTTATTATGCTTGGGGATGGCGATTATTCATCCTTTAGAAGGGGTCCTTTGCGTCCAAGGTTATAAATAATCACGTGGATGTCAAAGTAGCCTGACGGTCCAGGGGATTTCCGGCCGATGAGGATTATTTAGGCGTTGCTTGTCCCTAAAACGACCATAAAGACGATCAAGTAGAGAAGAACACAAACCTAGGAACTGTAAAATTCATTAGAAAGTAAGTCAGCTAATGGTCAATCTGTTAGAAGTTCAAAATTGAAAGTTACGCTTCCGTCAAAACCATTGTTTGTGCACGTATTGTTCTTTGATATCGACTGAAATCGCTACACAAAACAATTATGTTAAAATAACCATAGTACTATCATTGTTTCGTCTCCTCCCTTGAGATAAAAGAACGTAAATCTTCAAATCTGAGTTTTTTGAAAATTAGAAAAGTCACTGAGTAAGACCTTTAAGCTAAGCTCAGAGCCACATGTAAGCTTTAATATGCATGACAGTATTTTTCGCTACGTCGACATCTCACGCACGCCAACAACATGTATTATAAAGTATGTCTTGAAACTTGCTAAACAAAGGGCAGTTGCTGCTATAAAAAGCATATTTTAATAGTAGCCTTGGTGATATTGGATGTTCTTCTTTTAGAATTTGTATTTGTGGGTGCAGGTTTTTACCAGTGGGGAGTGAGGCTCTTGCACATCATTGCACCCATATGGGTATTACAGGGTGCTCTGGTGTAAAACAGTTAAGTTCATGGTATAGGAATGAGAGGACATTTGTCTTAATGGAAGGAAAGGCCAACTGGAAAATTGGCTCTAAATTCTCAGCTTCCTAAACCCGACAATACACTATTTTATCAGGGTAGTGAAATGAACAGATGGTCAGAGTTTGAAGGCTTCCATGACATTAATCCCACCCAAGCTTCTGTTCATTTCTTTTCCTCCCAGGATTGTGCAGTCTCAAAGTTTGCTTAATAGTACAGCCCTACTGCTTCTGTGCATCATTTTAGATATGCTGGAATATAACTGGGGTCATACTACGTACTTATCGATCTTGTGTACCGTATTTATTCGATTAACCGCCCTGGGCGCTTATTAAATTTTTGGACCTTGAGAGTGGGCGCTTATTCGAGGTGGGCGCTTATTCGAGGCTGGGCGCTTATTAAATTTTCACCATTTTCAGCAAGTGAAGTATGTTTATTTTGCAACAAAACAATAAATGCTAATAACAAAACGCGAAGAAGTAACAAAGCAAGGCTTCTGTAAAATACTCTGAAGAAAACTCCGTCCTCGGAGAAGTCTCTCATTAGAATTTATTCACTCAAGTGGGTGGGGTGGGGGTGAGCGCTTATTTGAGTTTGATTGGGAGGAGGAGGGGGTGGGCGCTTATTCGAGGCTGGGCGCTTATTAACTTTTTCTGCCTTTAGGATGGGCGCTTATTCGAGGTGGGCGCTAATTCGAGGTTGGGCGCTTATTCGAATAAATACGGTAATTTGTGCACCCCTTGGTTGAGTATCGGCCAATGAGTATCGACCAACAGTGTCGACCGATACTCGACCAAGGGGTGCACAAATTACACAAGATCCGTACTTATTGACTGAGTGGGAGGGCCAGACGGTAAATTATTATAACTCAGTCAATAAAGGCTGGTTTCCAGTGGCGTCGGAGTCGGAGTCATAATCAAATGTGTAGAGCTTTTGATCTAGTAACAGCGTTCTGATTCCGCTTACGACTCCATCACTTACATTCCCTTTATGATCCAGTGAAAACCAGATTGTCAGAGTTGGAAGCAGAAGTATGGGAACGTACTTTGTGATTGGTTTGTTCTTCCTCTTCTGCTTCCAACTCCGATAATCTGGTTTTCCCTAGATCATAAGCGTAATGTAAGCGACGGAGTTGTAAGCAGAGTTAATGGAAGAAATGGAAACATTCTGGTTCTTCCGACTCTCCGATTCCGCCCCGCTTATGACTCCACTTACGACTCCCATTTTTTATTAGCCACTAAGGTCATAAGCACTCTTACAACTCCGACTCCAACTCCGTCACTAGTGAAAACCTGTCTTAAGCATTTAATCATAATTAAGACAGTTGTGTTTTAATTTGAATATTGTTTTTCTAGCAGAGCCGTATGCATTTTTCCATCCCTATCACTTGACGCATAGGCGTATGGGCAATTTTTTGCCAGGGGGGGCGGTAAACTATTTGCCCAAAAAATTCTCGCAAGTTGTCCAAATTTTTACGAAACAGTAGAAAAGACACGAGGGCCATACGATGCAACAACGTAGGCCGCACTGGCATATGAAGGTGGCTCGATACTGTAACAGTTTTTCAGGGTCAATAACTCGCAATTTTGAGCATAACTACGTCGCCATAGACAAACATTTGGAAAACTTGCTACCATAGTTTTATAAGATATAGATGAACATTTATCATAGGGTTTTAATGACATTGGAGTTGTCATAGCAACGATATGACGCCATTGTCTATTTTACTTGCAGCAATATTTCTTGGCACTGGGAACTGTTCCTACAAAATCATTCACGGGAATTTTTTTCTCCAATAGTCGCGTCGATTTTCGTGAAGTTAAAACGGAATCTATAAAAGAGTTAATCGGGATATTTTGGGATGAAGTTTTAGAAATATGCTAAAAAAAAAATCTTGATGTTTGGCCGTTATCTGTAGAAAACGAACCTCTTTTGACATGCAGTTTCTCCTCATAGTAGCTTCAATCTTTTTAAACCTCTGGCCGAAGGATTCCATTTCATTAGTATGTATCAAGGCGCTCTTGTTAGTGGCTTCGTAAACATTTCGGTCTACTTTAATAAATTATTGCTTGATAGATTATTAAAAACATTTAATATTCTTCTCGTAATTCGAGCTGAGTACTAGTCAGCCACTTCTTCATTTTCACACCCACAGTTGCTGATGCTATCTGCCATACACTGTTCTACGGGCGGAGATGATTCTAGAAAGATATGTGGAAGTTTATTCTAATCAATTCACGACTGGAAAGAGCGCATTCCAGTCAGTGCAGTGCAGTACAGTGCTCAACAATAAAAAACTATAAATATGTAAATCAACAAATGATACCCTTCCCTATAACTAGAAACTCATCACGTGCTAAGCAACCACTGTGAGTGTCTCGAAAGAATGTAACTGGATTATTAGGCTGACTTCAGGATTTTTTTCAGATTAAAATAGAAAATATTAGTCTTTATAAACTAATAAATAAAAGCACGGAAACGTCTTTAAAAAATTGCTTTGCCCAAATTTTCTCTTGCTGCCCAAAAAATCTGAGTTGCCCAAAATTTGGGGGGGCTGCAGCCCCCCTCGCCCCCCCGGCCCGTACACCTATGACTTGACGCATAACATATGGCCCTCAGATACAGGACTTTCTTTTCATATGGTTTTCTAATGAAATTGTGCGCGGGGCCATTCAGGTCATATGATGATTTAGCATTTCTGCAATTTCAGTGACAGATCTTGTGGAACCGAGTCCTCAGACCCGTGAACAGATGACTGAATTTTGGAACAAGCACTCCACTGCACAAAGTGTTGAAGAAATGATGCTAGACAGCAAAGCAGAGGTTCTAACACAGCATGAGCAGCCTGAGGTCTTAGGAATGCTGCCATCTGTCAAAGAAAAAGATGTCCTGGAACTTGGAGCTGGCATTGGGTAACACATTTCTTTACGTTTTGCCTCACATGCCTTACTGGAATGTTGATTAAGCAGCAAGGCAATCACGTAGTCAATTTTTTTGTGAAGTAGTTACTAGTTCAAGGGGTGGTAATAGTTAGTTGATGCAAGTGGTGGTTACACGTATATATGTGAAGCTCTCAAACAAGGCTAGAGACAAGGGGAAAAAAGAAAAGAAATTAAGTCTACAATCGTGTATATTGGAAAATAAAAATGCAAACATAAAAAGTCGAGTTTTCAAGAAATTTTTGCATTATTAAGTTGTGTAAATCAATATAATCATTTTCATCTGAAAGTTTTTGGAGTTACAGTGTAAGTGTTGTGGATGTTGATTTTAATAAGTCAAGTTTTTGTTTTTGTTTTGCTTTTTAACACTGGGTTTTTGTCTTCTCATTTCTTTACTTATTAGAGTATTACAGCTTCAAGGTAAAGCTGATGTGTGTGATTTTGTCAGGCTTTTAGTTGCAATTTGTAAAGAGCTGTTACCAATAATTTACTTTTGATTGTATTATTATTGCCGCATTTCAGTCCCAACACTGATTTTGAGGAGCCTCTTGTTTGAACACCACTTTTGGTGATGATTGCAGAGGCTTCCTCTGACTGTAGCAGTAGTTCCTGATCATAATACGATATGATAAGGTAAAATAAATAAATTATTACCCATCACTGACTGACAAGGGCACTTGCACGTTTAGTATTATGTTTTGTAAGGGAGATATACGGCAAGTTCTTGGGGCTCACATGATTTGGTGGAGTGAATATCCTGTTTTCTGTTCCATAAATTAGACATTTTTAGAAACAATGAATATTGCTACTTCTGCTTGCTCGCCCCCACCCCGGGGGGGGGGGGGGTGGGGGTACTGCCATATATGGGCTATATACGTATGTGCGGCTTTAAAGGCTTATGGTTTTCAAGCAGTTTACTCTAGGATAGGGTATATAAATCAGAGCGTTTGGCTCTAGAATAGGGTATCATTTTTCAGGAAACTGATCAGTTGGTTGAAGATTTTATCTAGACTAGGTACACAGTTACTCTAGGATAGGGGGATTTGGGGAGTTTACTCTAGTATAGGGTAGCAAAATTCAGCTGAACTAGCTCTGGTAAAGGTTAAGGGTTCCTGGCTCCCAGCGGTACATCCCCCCCCAGAAATTCCTAAAGTACCCCCTTGGGCCCCACACCTCCTCTGGATGGGATGCCAGTCCACTACAGGCTTACCCCCAGCAATATGTTTGGGTAAAACACTCTACCAGACTATCACATCTTCACGGAATGCATTTACATACATGGCAAGACTTAATTTGCATAACATTTCTCAAGAAATACCTACAATACTAGTAACAACGTAAACTTTGCTGCTCCCTTTCTGAAGTTCTTCTGGATCAATTCACTCTATCCAGTACTATAAGTGTATGTATTTCACACTCTAAGAGACATCAACAAAAGTTGGATCAGACCAGATGATATTAACCCATTAATTAAGGTCACATATTGACATAAGGTTTGGGGTATTATGATCACTGGGTATGATCTGATCCAGACCAATCCAGGTTTTGTCAGTAGCCCAATCTAAACAGAGCTGAGCTCTAGCAGGGCCAGATGGACCTTGGCACCAAATTTATGCTCTCTGGAGACTTGAAAGTCTCATTTTTTTCATGCAAACCACATGCTGGGCACCCTAGATTTTACAGGTTCAGAGCCTTGGGCTCCCCCCATTTTCCTTAGAGCACAACCTTGCTGAGACATTATGATACTTTACGTGATCAAAGCTGAGCACATACATGTTAACTTGTTGTTTTTTTTTTCCCAACCATTAATTTGAAGTAATAAGATGAAGCAACCATTCTGAGAAGACCAGTGTCCTAATTTGAGGGTTTTTCATGAAATTTAATTCCACAGTTTGGTTGAATAAGTTAATCATGTTAAGAGGAAGTAATTATTAGTTCCTGTTTTGCCTGGTAACACCATTAAACCACAATGAAAACAGAAACAAGAAGTGATTCGAGTTAGCATGTTTCGCCACACCTACACTCCTGGGAATAAATCATCTGATCACAAGGTTGATGCCTTTTCAAGGATTTGACACGATGTTTGCATTGATTGCAGTTTCTGATTTAAAATGATTGTAGTACCGGTACATGTATTTCTTTTCTTTTCTCACACAGGCGTTTTACTGGAGATATTGCAGAGGAAGCCCATCATGTCACTGCTGTAGATTTTATGCAGTCGTTTATTGACAAAAACAGGAAAAACAATGGAGCAAAGTTTGACAACATTGATTTTGTATGTGCTGATGTAACAAAGCTTGATTTGCCTAAAGATAGGTAAGTGAATGATTATTACTGCAATATATAACTGCTAAATTATATTGTAAATGATCGCCTAGGCCTCAGTTGTTTAAAAGGCAGGTAATGCTTAATGCACTAGCTGGATGAATTTCTATCCAGTGAATAATGCAATTACGGTAGTTTAAATACTTATCCACTGGATAGTGATTTATGGTAGATAGTGCTTGACAAAGGCCATTTTGGGTTTGGGAAGGTAATTATAATGATAATTTAGAAATTGCAAAAAAGTATTTGAAAGGAACAGTTGCAGTCAACAGTGGGGGAGTCAGGAGAAAAACAGAAAAATTTAATTGAAGCAAGTTTGCAATTAGTTGTTTCAAAAGAAGAGTAAATAGGGCCAGGAAAGAGCTGGCAGCAACAAAACAACATAGAACAGAGTTAAAGAACAAAGAAAACTGATTCCTCCCTCTCACTGATGACTGTTACCAACTCATGATTTGCTGCCGAGTCTAAATTGACCTTGACATTTTCCGGGGGTGCTTTCATCTGTTCCTTGCCTTTCTAACCTCTCGTTTCAAATCATTTCATTCTTTCTGTGATATGTTTCAGCTATGATGTTATTTTCTCCAACTGGCTTTTGATGTACCTCTCCGATGAAGAAGTAAAGAAGCTGGCTCAAAACATGCTTCACTGGCTTAGAGATGGTGGGCACTTGTTCTTCCGTGAGTCATGTTATCATTCATCAGGAGACATGAAAAACTCTGATAACCCAACTGTCTACAGAACACCTGTGAATTACACAGATCTCTTCTCTGCTGTGAAACAGCCACAGTCCAATGGAGATATTTCAGTCTTCGAGGTGATCACAAAACGAGCAGTAGAAGCTTATACAAAGGTAACAAAATGGGAGTATTGTTTTATATTAAGATATAGCAGAAATTCCTAAAAACTCTGGAAAACATCGTTGTTGTTTAAAGGGACTGTGTTACAAGGGTATTGCTATTTTAGGTCAAATTCTGTGCTGAATTCATCACTTAGTGCCATACTTCTGTAGATATGAAGTAGATATCAGGGAAATCTAACCATTTTTTGTGATTTTTGTAGGCATAGCATTAAAACTGTAGCCAATAATTTCAAGTTTCAATCCATGTCCATCCTTTCTTAATCCATTGCAACAGATAACAGGAAACACTTTCAATGCCTAAAAATAGTCTTCATTGATGCCAAGACTGGTGGAATTCCATTGATACAAATCAATTAGTTTTAGCTTTTTAAAAAATAGAAAGCGTGACATAGCCACTTTTTAAAAGTTGGGGTACAGCTATGGAAGTTAAACGTGAGGTTTAAGACATGGCATCAGAGAATGACCTATCTAGCAACCAAACACACAAAATATCCATACGCTACAAAAATATTTTAAATACTGGAAGCGCATGAAGCTCTTTTGGTGTTGTCTGCCTGAATATTTCTTAAGGAAATGATGAGAGTTAAAAGACAAAAGAAACTAAGAATCGAACCAGGTTTTAATCAGAATTTCATTTTGAACTACTTATGTATTTGCAACAGGAGCAAAAAGAAACTACAGTCTTAATTATTCAATATTGTGAGCTCCTCAGGTGAGAATATTGTAACCTCAAATAAGATAGATATTTTCTCTTTTCCTAAATAATAATCATTGTACCAGCTTGGTCTTGTACGCTGGTGAACTGCCGAGTCTCCAGTGCAGGTCCCCTATGGTTGGTGTAATGATATTATAATTAAATTTCAACCCTGCTCACTGTAGAGCCTCCAGTAGTATCCGATCTAAAACTTAGAAGGTGAAGAGTTTGATTCTCTTGCACCTGAAGCTCAGAATTTTTTCTGGCCTTTCTTCTTTCTTCTTTCTCCTTCTTCGCTTAATAATATTGTACAGCCTTGTCATCTTGTATGCTGGTGGACAGATGATCTCAAGCAAGTCCAGATACTGGTCCCCAGTGGTTGGTGTCCTTTTTTTACCCTGTTCACTATAGAGCCTTGAGAAGCTCAGTGGTTAGAGCATCCAATCTAGTCGAACTCAAAGGGTCTTGATTTTAATTCTCACCCGGATTGAGGAATTTTTTCTGTTCTTTCTGGTGATAGAGTTTTCTCCTTAATCAATTTCCGGAACCTTAAGCTTAGTTACAGAAGCCAGTGACACCTCTTCCCCAGTAAGTTTGGACAATTAATTGATTTGTTTTACAGATGTATTTGAAAATGAACCTTTTGGTGTCAGTTGTAATTTAATAATCTATTGTATATTTACACAGCATAAGAGAAACAAACATCAGTTTTCTTGGTTGTGGAATAAAGTGTCATTCAAAAATGGTAGCAAAGGGACTCGCTTGCAGGAATTCCTTGATACTAATCAGTACAATAATGCAGGAATCTTGATGTACCAAAGAATTTTTGGTGAAGGATTTGTTACTCCTGGGGGAATGGCAACTACAAAGGTACCTTATGTATAATTTGGTTATTTTTCAACTTGCAGATTATATAATGAGCCCTGGAAATCTGAGGTTTCACTTTTACACCAATCTTCTCTTTCCCATTTTTGACCCACCCCACCACCACTAATTCAAACACAAACCAAACCTCTCGGCTCCCCAAACAGTTTTTGCTCTGGTTGCAGAATGTTGATTCAATGAAACAGTCACTTGTCATAACAGAGATTGTTTGGGGGGTTCCTTCTATAAACCTCCATAAGATGCAGGAGACGTCCCTTTTCTATATGACCTGCCCACCAAGGGTTTTCTTTTCTTTTTCTTTTCAAGAGAGAGCAAGCATAGTGTGAGGAACGAAATGAACATCTGTAGGGTTCTTTGAGATAGAGCTGTCCTTCCAGAACTAGGAATTTGACACTGTTCAGTGCTGAAAATCTAATGTTTGTGTTTTTTTCCAGGAATTTGCGGGCTGTCTAAACCTTCAGGAAGAACAAGAGGTGCTGGATCTTGGGTGTGGTCCTGGTGGCAGCACCTTTTACTTAGCTGATGTAAGTAACAATTTTAAGGAAAGACAATTTACGACATTAGAACTTGGGTCAATTGTAGTACTAATGTTGACATGTTGAGCTCTCCCTTTCAATGTTGGCCTTAAAATTGGACAATTCTACCAAAAAAAACATTACAAAACAACATTGGAAGGGAGAAAGACAGGTACCAGAGCAGTGTGACCCAAGCTGGGTGTCCTTGAGTGTGGCTTAGATATCTTCCCCTGTGTGCTCAGTAGTTTTCTTTTGGGTATGGAGCTGAAGGACATTTACTCTTGTAAAAAACTTATTAACAATTATTCCACGAGTGCACGTTGGATATGAGTAGGCTATAATCATCTCGTATCCAACAAGCGCGAGTTGAATAATTGTTTTATTGAAAACGCCCACAAAATATCGAAAATTCTTGCCGACTTTATTTGTAAAAACAACCAATTTTGAGCTTGTTTTTAATTTTGAGCAGATGCGTACAGTTACCAGCGCCGTACAAACGACTTATTGACGAGATCAAGCAAAACTAACTTAACGACTGGGGAACGACTGGAGAACTTACAATTTGACTAACAATCGACGACTCTTTAACTGTGACAAAGGACGGATCGAAACGCACCAATTACTGATTACGAGTTTTCATAGCCAATAACATCACGGCTTAACGGACAGACGACCAATGACATCGCGACGTAATTGACCAATCAGATCAATAAAAAGAGCATAATACCATCAACGGACGTGATACAACTCACTTTGACTCTGAAGATGACTACCGCACAGGTTGTCGAAACGTCAGTCAATGTCAACAACAACAGTCCTATTCAGGACTACGTTCACCCGGACGATCAAACTCAACCTACTTTTAAAAAGACTCCTGGGTTCAAACCTTTCACAGATGCGTACAGTTACCATATTTGGAGAGCATGGTATAATGGCTCTAAATATTCCTAGACTTTCACTCAACTAAACAGGGACAGCCATTGGCTGATTCTTGGTCACGTGGCCTTGACTAAAATCAAATGTATATTCCGATCGTGATACATCAAGCAATGTACCCCGCACCCCGCTCGGGATACATTACAGCACGTGATGAGAGCATGGTGGAAAGTGGCGTGACAGAAGGCGGGAAAAACACTGCCAGTTTTCTTTTTCGTGAATGGACACAACAACATTCACAATAACACAAACATGAAGCCTCAAGCTAAAAAGCAACGATTTTCAAAGTTATCCTAGAAGAGAAACAGCAGCTAGTGGAGGAAGATGCAGATAATATAAGGAAAGTACTTTTTAAATCATTCATTCAGTGGTTTTGAGAATTAAATTTGTGTTCTCATAAGTACCGAGTCGTACTGTTTTGATTCGCCCCTCTTAAGCGTATTCTTTTGTTGCTGTTGAAGTACGTTGAAGTGAAAGTCTGGAAATATAACAAAACACTTAATGTCAGGTCCCTCGGGAAACCAGTTAGTTTTGTTTTCCCTCGAGTCCTGATGTTTCCCTTGACTTCGTCTCGGGAAACATCAGGACTCTTGGGAAAACAAAACTAACTGTTTCCCTCGGGATCTGACATTAAGTGTATAATATTTGATGGCTAGGACAATCAGAGCTCTAGAATTTCATTATCCAATGATTCAGTTTTTAATAATTGTTTTTATATCATTTTTTAAAGATTATTATATTGCATCTCGACCATCAGAAGCAAATGCTCTTTTTCAACATTTTCTCTTCTTTTTAGACCTTCCGTGCTTATGTTCTTGGAATGGATCTTTCGGCAAATATGATCAACTTTGCCTTTCAAGCATATGAACAGTCAAATAAAACAAGTTTGGTATGCTATAAGTATATATTTATTCTAATGCATGTTAATAGATCAGTATGGGGATTACATTTATAGAGTGCAGGTCTGCTGGGGGAGGGGGGTAGGGTTGGGGCACAAAGACCTTTGTGTTGAATAAACTCTTAGGGCCTGTTCGATTGACTTTATTTCGAAGTAAGACTAAATGGAATAAACTATAAAAATCCTTTCTTTTGGTATTATTTTATTGCATTGTTATTTGTAGAAATCTGCTTGAGGTAAAGTATTCCGATTTACATGTATGCAGCGTTCAAGACCCCGTTTGCACCAGTCCGGACTTATTTTACAGCGAACAAAATCTTGCAGGGATCCGCCTTTCTTTGGATCAGAATTTAAGCTCAATAATTCGGTACAGTTCCACTTTTACGGGGATTCCTGTGAACACCTGAAGTGTGCAAGTTAGAGGCTTGGTGCCTAGTTACGTGCCTTTTTGTTGGACAGGTAAAAAATTCGTCCGTTCAAAAATTTGTCCGGACCCATATAATAACGGGGTCTAGTAAGAATTCCGAACGTCCTGGTACAAGAAATATTGAACAAAACTTGTCCGTATTGTGTGTTTATCACTCGTCAGTAGCACTAAAATTAAGCAATATACGAATTGGCCACTGTCACAGTCGAACCTCCACTAACGGCCACCTTTTTTGGCGGACAGTCCCTACACTGACTCTTGTTTCAACCTCTCTACTGCGGCCACCTCTCTACAATGGCCACTTTCGTCTGTCCCCAGGGTGGCCGTTGTAGAGAAATTCAACTACATGTTTAAACTTGAACTCTCATGACAGAGTGAAGGTTCTGCTGTTGGGACATTACAGTATAGTACGGAAGAAATATTCTTCAACACCAACGATTTGATGAAAGTTTAACAGAGCTTTCGGCACCCATCCGGTCCCTTGATCAGTGATGACGTTTGCTGTTATTCGCAGCCTCGTTTTGATGAGACTGCAGATTAAGGGAAGGTTGTAGCCTTGATCATGAACTCTGTTTAAGCATTTTTTTTGTGACGTTCTCTTAAAGGTGCAATTTGAAGTAAGTGACTGCACAAAACGGGAATTCCAGGCAGCGAGATTTGATGCAGTGTATAGTAGGGACACCATTCTTCACATAGAAGACAAAAAATCTCTTTTCACAAACATACTGGTGAGTCAAGTTTTTTGAAGCAACGTAGTGCAAAGTTGTTAGACCTATTATTTAAAGATAAAACTAGATCAAAGTTTTAATTGTCCTCCCAAACTCACTAACACAGGCCATTGTTACCTTTAGTTGTGAACGTTCTGTCAGAGTTAGCTGAAAAAATGTGATCGGTCAATTCGTTCACATCGGGACTGTTCAGGATATCACCAGAAAAAGCGACGAGATTGCGTTAGGTCAGCTGTTTTGGTAGAGCTGGGGAAAATAGCGAAAAATTCACACGTTTTGCGGAGAAGAGAAAGCTGATCTTCTGGCTAAAACCACAGCAAGAACAGCAAAAATACAACTCGACAAACGACAACTGCTATTTGAAGATAAATATCTGGTAGATTTAGGTTTCTGGGAAACTGCCCACCTACCCCTCCCCTAAGCCAACATTTTGCCCTAAACGAGAAGTAAGTGCTAATGTTGGCTTGGGGAGCGGGGGGGTTAGGTGGGCAGTTTTCAACAAACCAAAATTGACTTTGGCATCAGACTTTTACCAAGGAACAAGCAAAGTGGTATGGTTAGGATGGTTCAGTGTGAACAAAACACCTATCCGCACCAATTTTCAACCGGTTGAAAATTCCTGCGTTGCCATGTGAACGTAACCATAGTACGCTGCTCTGGGAATTACAAGATAGAAGTACACAAAATTTGTCATAAACTTGTCATCCATTGTGTTTTGAAGTAATAGCTTTGTTTATTATTTATCTTACCACTGATTACAACATTTCAACCGTTAACCCTTTAAACCCTAAGATCAAAATTCAAATTCTCAGTGTCACCCCTATTCATTTACTATAGAAGTAGTGGGGAGAAGTTGATAAAGTATCAAGCAAATACATCTTGTGTGATCATGTCCTTAATTCTCATGACCACTATGTTTTAAAAAGCATTGATATTATAAGGAGAAATTTGATGCTGATCACTTTTAGGGTTTGAAGGGTTAAAGGCCAGTCTTTATCTGGCGTGTTGATTTGCTTTGTATAACTCTAGATAGCTCGATCTGAAAGAATACACGTAAGTTTAATAAAAAGAGATAAAAATTCTTACTTACTTAGTTCGATGGACGATTTTGACTTTTCGACTTATCCATTTCTAATAGCACTGGTTAAAGCCCGGAGGTCAGCTGCTCATCACGGATTATTGCTGTTGTCCTGGCGAACATTCAGAACAATTTAAAACATATCAGGAACAACGACAGTATCACTTGATTGATATAGAGAGCTATGGACAGGTGAGTCTACTAACCCCTCCGATGGCAGCGTACCCCCAGGCTCCCAGTTAGCCTTCCATGCGGAGCGCGTGACGAGCTATCGTGACTAATTATCACTTGGATTTTTTTGTTACAGCTCCTTCGTAAAGTAGGATTTGAGGAAGTGTCAGTTGAAGATAGGACAAACCAGTTTGGAGAAATCCTTGAATGCGAACTAAAGAATTTCGAGAAGACAAAAGATGAGTTTGTGAAGGTAAGACGGTGTACTGGCTAGTTGAGGGGAGGTTATCTTATAAGCTGTGTTGTATCTGCAAGTGCCCTTGAAGGAATGGTTTTCGAACATTGCGGAACGTGTGGCCAGAAGCTTGAGAGTCCACTCTATTGAAAGGACATTTATCGATTTTTCTTTTGTTTTTTGACCCCAAAATATTCTATGCCAAAGCCCGTCACATTCGCCTGGCGATTTGCCTAATAGTTGTAGCTCCGACGCTTTCCAAAAATATTCCGTGTCGAAAAAAGGGGTGACTCTTGCCATATGAAGTCGTACTGGCCCATGGTTCTGCAAGAATCTTTTCCTTCTAAACTCGCAGAACGAGTAAAATGGGGATCAGCCACTGTCTTAAAACAGGAAACTCAATACTACAGTGAGTAAACAATGATGCACTCTCTCCGAAACGGGTCCAGCCTCGTATAGATAAGCACATACTGTCACATATGTTCCCTGGAATAGCCAGAAAAGTCCAAGTTCCATCTAAATATGATTTATACTAATGTGTATTCAACGAAAACCGGCAAACAAGGCCCTAGCTTTGAAAGAGAGAGCTTGTATAGTATGACCTATGTTTTGACAGACTTTATACCGGTAGACTAATTGCATGTCCACTATCAGCTTTCATTTCTAAAATACTTTATCCACGAGTTACCCATAGGCATCCTTTGATTTTGGGTATGAATTATTTTGAACGAATAATCAAACTATTATTGAGTTCGGCTTTCGTATGATCTGAAGATGTATGCAAATCACCGAGGAGGTCATTCGCCAAGGTACATCTGTAACACCCTCCTCAGACTTATTATTCATATTATACTCAGTCTCATCTAATAGTTGCTAACAGCCAGTAAATTAAAGGTCTCTCAGTCGGACTTGCTAGTAAGTAGTTAACATCTGAAATCTGTTGGTTAATACGTTTTCCTTTGTTGGTTAATATAGGACTTCTCAGAGGAAGACTACAGTTCTATATTGAGCAGCTGGTCAAACAAGCTTTCAAGATGCCGTGATGGAGAGCAGAGATGGGGATTGTTTTATGCCAGGAAACCTGTCAGCTCATAGTCTCACGCGCTGGAAAGAACATGATTGCTTGGAATCCTTTTCCTGGGAGATACCCAGCTGCAACTAGACAGATGTTTGATTACTGAATATGACGCTTGCTTTAATTATAACTAGTTGCATGGCTTGTTTACAAGCTACAATCTTGGACAGAATAAAATGGAACAGCAAACACCAACACTCCCGAAATCAAGGATCAAGCCGCACGAAAGCCAAAGCCCGCGGGGTCTAAATCTTCCATCTGTGTTTGGTCCAAGATTGTGACTTGTATGACCTTAGTCCTAGGATCACCCAAGACGGCCAAGGAAACACAACGCTTTAAAAAAGAAGAAACTTGCAAGGGTTAGCAAGGGTAATGGAGTAACCCATATACTTGGAAAGAAACTCTTAGACCGTAATTTAGTAGTTATAAAGATAAAATTATATTGATATTGAAATTAATTACTGATTTTTACATGATATGATGACCAATTACGCGTTACAGTGTTATTTATTTTAATACAATTATTGTAAAAATAAAAAATAAGAATAATGAAAATAGAACAGCCCTATTAAAAGATGCTATAAAAAAAGCTATCCACGCTGATCTGGCAATTGATGTCAATTCACTTCACAGACCAGCATTCAGAGTACGTACAAAATAAATTGAAATGTGCATTTTATACTAAATTTGAAAATACTTAGGTTAAATTTAGTGTCGCTAATTTCACCAAAAAGTCTCGATATCCTTTGCATTTTACCACAGGGCGCCCACACAATAGGTTTGTGTAACCGATTGTTATTTTATAGCAAATGTGCTGGATTTACCGTTTGCTTCACCTATAGCGATATATCGCTAACTATGTATATAAATCAATGATAAATAAACGTTGAATTACCTTGCCTGTGGTGTATAGTCGTCCTTTTGCCTCAAAAGCGGTTTTTGAGCGATTTTGAATGAATTTGAGTTCGCCGTTGACTGTTCATTCAAAATCGCTCAAAAAACCGCTTTTGAGGGAAAAGGACGACTATACACCACAGGTAAAGTAATTCAATAATTCAGTAATTTATTAATTCAGTAATTTATTTATCATTGATTTATATACATAGTTAGCGATATATCGCTATAGGTGAAGCAAACGGTAAATCCAGCACATTTACTATAAAATAACAATCGGCTACACAAACAAATTGTGTAGGCCCCCTGTGATTTTACTATGTTGGTGTTTTTTTCAACCTTACTCAATTAAAACTAAGCCTTTTTTGCTTGGTGAAGAAATTAGCTGGTCGTGCATAAAGGTGCATATAATAGCCTTTTTGGCCTGTCCACACTGTTGCGTTTTCAACCATCCCGAACTCTAAGCCATCTGGCGGAAACGAATATCATGTGTCACGGTTTCAGTGATTTTCTTTCTGAGCTATAATCGGACGTGTGTGATTCTTGTAAGCTTGCTTCCCAGCAGAAACTCATAAGGGGTTGAAAAACCCCTTATGAGTTTCTGTTCCCAGACAATACCGTGACCATTCTTGAGCTTGTAAACCCGTCGTGTATGAGAAGCTAAAAACCTCCTTTTTTCTCGTTTTGGTCTGGTCTCAAGGCCAAAACAGAGTTTGGAAGGGAATAATGACAATTTTAATGAAAATGTGTTTTGCTGTTGTTGTTGTTGTTGCTTGTTTGTGTGTTAATCGCGAAGTGCAGCGCTGAATTGAACCCTTGAGTTTTTATACCTCAAGAGGTTTTGGAGTTTGTATTGATTATTTTTATTCTTTTATATGACCCTTTAAAACTTCCCCTTGTACACAAATTGATCACCATTTGATTTTTATGGTAGCATTTAAAATAATAACTTTTAACAAATGAAAAATAAACGTTTATATTAGTAAATGCAAAGTTGAAACTCGTTTTCTGGTTGAAGCGTGCGTTAGTGTCCGTCATTATGCCCCTGTAAAGAATTTCCCTCTCCTTTTCTTGCCGTCCTTTCTTTCTTCCTTCAAATTGCATGGTTTTAGCAGATCGAACTGCTCGATTTTGCTGCAGTTTCTTCTTTTCTGTAAGAAGGTGACTTCGAAACATTTCATTATTACCAAGACACAGCTGGAGTCAAGGGGCGCTTTCCATTCAACACTGAAAAATTCCGGTTTGAAATTTCGGAAACGGAACACTCTAGTCCGGTGGCACAGACCCGGCCCAAGCCACTGCGAGTTTGTTTATTGTTCTTGTAAGCAGAAGGCAAAAGAGCGTTACTAGGGACAACAATTTTGTCAAATGGAAAAGGACATTTTGGTCTGACCGAGACAAAATTAGCTCACCAGTCAAAGTGAACCACCTTTAAAGGTGGTCCCGAATATTCTGATCGGACCAAACCGAAATGGCCCGTTCCATTTGATAATATCATAGGTGACGAATTACTCCTTACTTTTGGCGCGAAATTTCAGCGTTAATTTGTAATTTCACATGTGAAATTACAAAATTGCCATGGCAACCTTCCGTACGTCTCAGTGTCAAGATGGCGACGAAGTTTTAAAATATCATGAATGAAGAATCATAGGCGTACGGGCCGGGGGGGCGAGGGGGGCTGCAGCCCCCCCAAATTTTGGGCAACTCAGATTTTTTGGGCAGCGAGAGAAAATTTGGGCAAAGCCAGTTTATAAAGACGTCTCCATTTTATTTAAGTATTTTAAAGACCTGGATATTAACCTGAAGTCGGCGTAACAATTCAGTTACATTACAGTGGTTGCTTAGCATGTGATGAGTAATTTACATATTTGCAGTTTTTTTGGTTGGGCACTATACTGCACTGCACTAGCTGGAATGGGCTATTTCCAGTCGAGAATTGATTAAAATAAACTTTCGCATAACTTTCTAGAATCATCTCCACTCGACGAACAGTGTATGGCAGATAGCATTTAGCAATGGGTATTGCCTGCATAGCAAGCGTTTCCGCGCGAGTTCGACTGGAAACGCTTGCTACGCAGGCTACAATGGGTATGAAAATGAAGAAGTGGCTGACTAATTCTCAGTTTGAATTACGAGAACAATCTTAATTCGTTTAAAAAATCTATCGAGCGGTTTAAAATTATTCGCTAATTTGTTAAAGTAGACCGAAATGTTTACAAAACCGCTAACAAGAGTGTCTGGATACATACTAATCAAATCCTTCTTTCGATTCTAGCAATCAAGCAGAGCTATCTCCACGATCTTTCACACATGTTTTTAGAAAGATTAAAACTACTATGAGGTGAAATTGCAGGTCAAAAGCACTTCGTTTTCTACAGATAACGGCCAAAAATCAAGATTTTTCTTTTCTTACCGTATTTCTAATAATAAACACTTCATTGAAAATATCTCGATAACGCTCTTAAGGTTTTGCTTAAACTTCACGGACATCGAGGCCACCGTATTGGAGAAAAAAGCTCCTGTGAACGATTTTGTAAGGTTCCCGTCCCGCGAATCACTGCTGAAGTAAAATAAGTAATTGAGTCATTTCGTTGCTATGACAACTCCGATGTCATTGCAACCCTGGTGATGACAAATTTTCATCTTAATACAACTGTGGTCGCAATTTTTCCAAATGTTTGTTTATGGCGACGTAGTTTATGCTCAGACTTGGTATTGACCCTGAAAAACTGTATCGAGCCACCTTCATATGCCAGGACGGCCTATGTTGTTGCCATATGGCCCTCATTTCTTTTCGACTCTTTCGTAAAAATTTGGGGAACTTGCGATATGTTTTGGGCAAATGGTTTACCCCCCCCCCGGCAAAAAATTTCCCGTACGCCTATGTGAAGAATGGATGTCAGGGCACAAAAAGACGCTTTAGAAAACCTGAACACACGGAAGAGCACATCAAGAAGGATTATAACAGATATTTTGTCGAAAAACTCTGAACGTAAGCCAAATTTAAGTTCTATTAACGTTCGAGAGAGTGCAGGAGTTCTCGATCGATACGATCCAGGATAAACATGTCAAAAATCCAAGACTGCTAACCCGTCACCCATGATTTTAATAGGTAATCAAATGGTATACTCGTGAAATTAGGGAATAATTTCACTTGCGTTTTGTCCAAATCCTAATAATTTAATCTAATTATAAGGATTTAGACAAAACGCGCGTGAAATTATTCCCTAATTTCACTCGTCACCATTTGATTACACATACTTACTAACCGACATTTTCGGAATTTTGGGCGGATTGGAAAGCCCCCAAGGTCTAAAATAGTTTCCCTATTTTTGGTTCTCTCGAACTTCACACCTTTTCTCATGCCTCCACCTCACATGAATGATTTTTAATTAAGCTTACCCTAGAACCCTATCAACCATTTCTACCTACCTAGCCACCGGTATCCCACAGCTTAGTTATGAAGTTGGTGTCCAAGGATGGAAGAAGAGAAGAACGAATAATCTGTGGGGGAGGGGATGCATTTGAAAACCTATTATTCGAAAAGGAAAGGGGTACAATTTTTATATAAAAATTCCTTTTTGGGGGGAGGGGGGTGGGTAAAGTATTGTTATGCCACAATTTTCTGAAAACCTCCTCCCCCCAGGACGTAATAAACGATCGTTCCCTTGGTATTGATAAAACCAAGTCTTTCTCTTGATAAAAACAAATGTTTGCATACACCTAATCTCAATATCGTTGTCTAAGAAAAATGCAAATAGGAAAATTGTAAAAGCCAAATAGGCTAATAAGCCTAATAAATTAAATTTGTATACAGCATCCGCACATGGACGCAATATTTGCCTTTTGGAATTTGCTATTTAAGTGTTTTAAAGCTAAAAAACGATAAAAAAAAATTCCAGCGGGGAAATACAACGGCTGCAAATGACTTCACCCTGAGAATACTTGGTGAACTAACCTCATTAATTTCCATTTGGCTTTTTTTTCCTTGGCTTTTTCCTTATTTCATTTTTCTACGACAACGTTATTGCAATTAGGTATATATAGACGTTCGGTAAGTTGCATGTATAATCTTTAGAATTCTCAACCTCGGATACGAGAGTGTGAATGGGGTTAACCGACTTGCGACAAAGGGCAAAAAATATTACCAACTACCGACAAAACGGGAAAAAAATTACCGATTACCGACAGGAAAAATATTACCGACATGGACCGACATTATCTATATTTTTTTTTCAGAAGGGAGAGTATATTGTATTTTTTCTACCTTTTTAGGAAATAACTAAAGATACCACTTACTTTATAAATTTTATTAAACTAAAAGACAAAGGTGAAAAACCGAACATTTCTTATTCCGATGGACGTCAAAAGTCTTTTTACAAATATACAAGAAAGCGAGGTATTAAAATCGGTTTGCTGAGCGTATGAAAATTTCTACAAAGCAACCCACCTAGTCCTACACATTACCTGCGAGAAATGCTTAGATTAAGCCTTAAAGAAAATTCTTTCCAGTTCAATGGAAAGCTCTACCTACAAACCCACGGTACCGCGATGGGCACAAAGACATCAGTTTCCCTTTCCAACATTTTCATGGCATATATTGAAACACACCAAGTCTAAGCAAAACCGTCTTTAAACTAGACATCGTAGCTTTCTTCAAAGAAACAACCTTACATTACCCTACTATTAAATTCACAACCGAAACTCACTGAGACTATGTTCTAAGACACAGTTGTACACTAAAGCACAAGATTCAACGAAAAAGTTATCCTTGATGCAAAGACTACGGAAACCTTCCAGCACACATTTCGTCCCTTGTCACCCACTAATTGTCGAAGGAGTTTGAGGAAAGTGTTTCATATTTCAAAAGAACGCTTGATGAACAGAGGCTACCAACACAATTTGAAAGAAAAATTGCTATCAGAAATAAATGAAACTCACAGAAACTGGATGTCCGCGCTCCTGAAACAATACAGCGAGGAAGAAAACGAAATGTTGCCTTTCGTGACACAATACCAGCCCTTAGTGTCTACTGTAAAAGAAGCTTTAATGGAAAAGGGGAATCTCATACAAAACCAACCACTACTTTGCCAAATTTTTAAAAGACCACCTATTATTTCCTACAAGAAAGGAGTATCATGGCAAAGAACATGCTTGTTAGAGCCAAAGCATTAAGGGACGGACCATTAGAAAACTTATGGGGGGGGGGCGGGCGAAGTACAAAAAAAATATTCGCGCAAGGGAAAATTAAATGAAAAAAATTCATGCACGCCAATTAACCCTAAAAAATATTCATGCAATGGCCTAAATAAAATTCATGCAAAGAATTTGATCACGAAAAAAAATTCTTGCAGCTCGAAAATTCCCCTCCCCCCCTAACTTTTCTAATGGTCCTTCCCTAAAGGTAAACACACGGTTTCACACAGGTATAGATGTGCAGCCTGTCACCCCTTGCAGTTTTTCACCAAAAATAATTTACGCATCCAAAATGCTAGAGTGGGTGTTTCCTTCTGTGTCCAATTAACCTCTCTTCATTACTTTTTATAGTGCCCTGTAATCAACAGGGAACCAAGTTCGCCATTTGCAATAAAAGCTCAGCTTTGGTGATTTAATCGGTACTATATTGGCAAACAAAGGTGAAATAAACTATCATCTTGTATAATGAAGTTTAAGTTCAATAAAATGATGCATTTTTACAAGTTCTGTACGTTTTATAGGTATTAAAGTCTTCAAACTGAGTGAAATAGATAACAAATATGAATCACTTTAGTGATTTTAGTTATTAACTGAGATTAACCGACAACCGACAAAGATCGAAAATTTTAAAGGACCACGGACAAAGTAACTGAATTTTAACGGACAACCGACAAGTGGACCCTCCCCCCCCCCCCCCCCTCATTCAGACCCTCGGAATGCATTTCTAGCATTCTGATTGGTTCACTCAATCTCGCTTATCTGCTCATATACCTTAGTTTGACTTTATATGGAAAACAACAAAATTTTCTCTGACAAAGCGGCGGAAAAAAGTACATTTCGCAAGCATTCTACCGACGAAACAACAGGAAAAAAAATGCCATACCGGCAGCGACAAAACAGCCACAAACGTTGGTTTGAAATTATTTAATGGCACTCCGAAGTTTCCTTACAAATTTAAAGAAATTATCAGCTTAATTCTTCTGTACGTCGAGCTGATTATGTAACAGCAACAACAACAAAGTTTACCCGTTTTTAAAAATTTTCAGAATGGCTTGCAAGTCCATGCAGGAGTAAGTTTTCAAAACCATTGGCAGATTATTTGCGTGATTGAAGAGCTTTTACACCTCTTAACATTTCTGCAAGTCCATAAAAAAAGAAAACTGGCCATTAAACCGATGACTTCGTTATTTAATATAGAGGGTCGTTATTTCGAGGTTCCACTGTACTTTAGTATGAAATGTTAAGTTCAGAGTTTAGACTATTTCACGTGATTGGCTCTTATCCAATCAGATTTCTAACTAACCTGTCATAATGTCTATATATTGTCTCCCGATAGAGGCGTCCCTTTAAAAGTAGAAACCTGAGAAACAGCGTTATTTAAAAAAGAAGTATGAAATGTTAGGTTCAGAGTGTCGACTGTTTTAGGAGCTCTTTACTTGAAAGAAGGAAGATCCTAGAAGGCGGATCAACTTTACGTTGGGTTTACTTGCAGAAATTTTGGTCCGTGTGTTACCCAAATATAGAATGTTTGAGAAGTAATTTAAAATGGCGGGCGACAAAGACAAACATACTATTGGGCCCTCCCGCTGTCTTTACTGGCGTTAACAACTTGCTTTCAGCAGAATTATCACAATAATCAGCTAGTGGTAACGCCAAACGAAATGGTCGGCCTTTATTGCCGTGATTACCCACTAAACGACCCGCCGCTATTTTTGTCTGTTTTTTCCCTAGTACTAGGATCTTACTAGCGAAGGCAGTTTACATGGTGCTAGGATCTTCCTACCTGTCAGCTAGGAAAATCCTAGTACTAGGAAGATCCCAGCTCTAGGAACAAGTACAACCCTTTGCATGTAAACCGAATACAGAACACATATGGCGCTAGGATGATCCGCCTTCTGGGATCTTCCTGGTACTAGGATCTTCCTCCCTTCGCGTAAACAGCCCCTTAGATTCATCTTACCTTTGTGTTAATATCATGAGCTTAGCGTAAGGGAGCTTAAGGGTTATCTCAGAAAACTGTTATTACTTTATTTGTCCTTATTTCTTGAAGTGCTGGTCGTAGCCTTTCACAATATTCTGCCTTAGTTTGTAGAAAACCTTGGAGGCTTTGCCGCCGACCAGCCATTCGATGCCTGTATTTGGCAGCCATCCATTGTAGTTGTTGTTGGTCAATCCGAAAACATTACACTTGATGTCGGGTTCATTCTCATCTGGAACGGCGATATAGAAATTGCCGCCATTTGTAGCTCTAATGAGACTAATTGGTTCTTTTGGTTTGGAAGGATGAGTGGCATTCTTTACGAACATCGCAAATGCTTTCTTTCCAAACCAATCCACTTCTTTAGGGGGAGAAACGTACAATACCAGGGTGCGGTCGGTAAGTGGGCACGATAACGCAGCTCGCGTGTACACGATCCGCCCTTCATCTGGGGCAACTTCCAGCGTCTCCAGGTCCTGAAATGCATTATCCCATTTGATTCGTATGTCCATGTTTGAAGGATGCACCATTTCAGCGAATTTCTCCGCAGTCAGGGGCAAAGCTTCAAACATGAACAGCGTTTTGATGGGTACTTCCTCCTGAGGGAACGTGTTGCTCCAAGAGTCGAATTCGCCAGGAACTTTGTACCTTTGGTTCCAGCCGCCTTTCTCCAAGTCGCTTTTGAACCACTTTGCTCTCTCAACTTCTTTCTCGAAGTCCAAAGATGGAAATGACTGCTGTTTAGACTGCATAATGATGTACCACGTCAGAACGGCAGCAACACTATCAATCTGCAAAAACTAAAATCAGAAAGAGACGTTTGAACGCCTCAATAATCTGAGTGATCTTGATAATAATTTTCAACTAATTAGCAAAAAAATTATGCAGCGAGCTGCCTTCACGCGCTTTTTTTTTTCAAAAAACACCTAACGAGGCTGATAGAGGCCCGAAACACTTAATGAGAGAAGACTGAAGCGCGCTAAGCTAACTAAAACCTGTTTCAGATTGTTTTTAACCGCAGCAGGATTAGTTCCGTCGGCAGAGCGGGAGGTCGCGGGTTCGATTCCGGGACTGGACCAATATTCAGGGTCTTAAAATAACTAAGAAATGAAGGTACTTCCTTTGCCCTGTAAACAGCTGGACCTTCGCCTGGCTCGTGTTTCAGACTGGGATTTGCTTTGATAGGGTAGCTTTTAATGTTCAAAAATACTATAACGTATTGGTTATAATTAGGCATTCGTTTGATACTATTATTGTATTGTTTAATAAAAAAATTAATGTCATAAAAAAGTATAAATAACGCTAAAATCCATTTGGGTGTGCGTTGGGTGTCTCTACGTGTACACTTTGGCGCGCTAATCTATTTGGAGGCAGAAGTTAAGTTTTGGGAGAAGAATTTCATTTGATAGTAACCATAGAGTGCTCTTCTTGGCTTCAGATGACTCGGGTTGAAAGTAACAATGTTCACATTCGTGACAGGTAAAGAAGCTGATGTCACGGTTGAATGTATAACGAGTCATGTTTGAGACAAGGCATTAATAGTAGGCATTATAAGTACATGTATTTTGGTCTAAAAATGGCGGGAGGATCAGGGCCCCTCCCCCAGGTCCACCACTGATATTACTGTTTTAAGCCAATTATGTGCTGAAGTCATCACTCAGTTCCTCTACACATACACAATATTTCTATAGAGTTGTAAAGAAGATAGCAAACAAATTTTATCAGGGAGAACTAACCATAATAATTCTTTAGGTAATTTTTGCTGACATATAGCATTACCTGAAAAAGTTGGCCCAATTTTTTCAAGTTTCAATTCATTCCATTCTTACCATCCGTTGCAACAAACGACAGGAAACAGGTTTAATTTGTGTAGGTAACATAACTTGGACCCTTATTTTTGGAATTCTATTGATGCGAAGACAAGTTTGAGCTTTTTACAAAGATCGCAAATAGGACTAACACCCATCACAGATAGCCCAGACGTGCTGCATGTCAATGCATTGTTGAAGCATTGTCGATCTATAATCCTAATAATTTGTTCAGTATGTTGGTCTATGTTACCAGAATTGACATACAGTAGTCGACGTAGTCTGGGCTGCCTGTAGCAAAACTGGCTTTTATATATGCGGTCCTTTATCGAACACCCGCCTAAATAATCCTTACACTAATAAGACTGGGATTTCTTTGGACTGAGAACACTAAGTAATCGCGGCAATCGATCGAACAAAGACCAAAAGAGCCATTCCAAGAATAATTTCTTGCCTCTGTGCAAAGGGACGGCCTACAAAATACACTGATTCAGGCAAAACGTCTACACATGAATAAATTATGCTAATGACACTACTACAGCAAAGGAAACACATTCAAATTTACACATCAAAAGCGTTCATCTGAGTTGGCGACCTGTGCTAAAACAACATATACACCTCAACTGGTTTTTAGGGACTGTTTGCTTGGAGGGAGGAAGATCCTAGAAGGCTAAACAACTTTTCGTTTGGTTTACATGCAGAGATTTGGGTCCGTGTGGTTAGCAACAAGTATAGAGAAAGCGGGGACGTAGCGTCCTTTACGAAATACGCACTTGCGTACTTGAGAATTTGGTAGATTATTCTAAAGATTTTCTGTTATAAGTAAGAGCTATTTGTAGTGTAGTGACTTGATTTTGTTTCCGTCTCACTGTTATTGAATTTGCATCGTTTTTACACGAACAAGAACGCTCTAAACGCGTCAAAGTCTCGCTTGCTTGGAGCTAGATAAGGAGGAGATTTTTTCTACATGAAAAAAGATTTCCTTGCTAAAAGTTTTTCACTTTCTTCTTTATCGACGGTCGAATATTCTTCAGGATATTCATCTTTTATATCGTATTGGACGACGATTGCCGTCTATAAATAAACAAAAATCGAGAGAAATTACATCATTGCAAGAGAGAAGAAATGGTCCTCTGAGAGGACATGAGCTTACTGGCAATGAAAAGTTTGTACGAGGAAAAGGGCGATAACGGATACCTATGGTCCGAGGCATACACGTTAAACGGCGTGTGCTACGAGGACAATTATTTTCCTAAGAGAAAATTTAAATTATTTAATATTTTGTATCACTCAGTGTACCTTATTTTTTCAACACGTCTGCTTTCTATTGCCTATATGTTTGCCGTGTGTTATCTATGGACAACGTATGTAACGAGACATCGCGGTAAGTGACAACGGGCCGAATGTCTATGAAAAAAACATGTGCTTGCGAAACGAAATCGTTCTTCGAGGCAGACACGTTCAGTAGTGACTGCTAAACTACACGTATGGCGCGGTATCTACTAAAATTTTGGAGGAAGTTTACTTCTAGCGAACAGATGTAGAATTGATTTCAATGCCAAACGTTAGAGATATTCAGAACAACTGAAAATACGTAAATGCTGACTATAATTGTTTGTTCCTTTTCCATGCTCATGATCGAAATAAGGGATAAAATGAAAAGATGTTAATGTTGATAACGTCATCTTTGCGCAACAAAAGGGAGGGCGCCTCGCCTCATGCTTAGAAAATAATAATAACAATAATAATTTGTATCTATGAGACTCTCACCAGGGTGATTTTCAGAGAGGTCCTGAAAAAAAAAACGCATAAAAAGATAAAAAGCCACAAAAAATTTCCTGCACTAAAAACCTAAATGATCACAAGGAACTATCAAAATGATTATGAAAATTAACGTTAAAAAGTCATGATGTCATTTGATTTTCTTAAAAAGATGTAAACTATTCCAGAGTTTTAAAAAAATCATAAAAATTGCGCTTAAAAGACTCGATGCTAGGTTGATTTTAGTTTCTGAAACACAGATCTTCACTGTTCCAGTCTTTAACAGCTCGATAATGTCTAGTCTTTCCAGTCTATTGTAAACAAGTCTGTAAACTGCCGAAATATATACAGTAGTAAAGGAAAGCAAAAACGTTATTTTGTACAAAGTTTTTGAGACCATATGAACCCGCGTGTGTACTTGCCAAATTGTCACGCGGCTACGCCTCTGGAAGGAATTAAAGATATAACTGGCGACAATACCAAACATGCAATTTGGACCCTTATGCTCTCTTTACTAGCGTTAATAACTACCTTCAAGGGAAATCAGTAATGGGACAATCTTATTACCTTTCAGCAGCAGTTGGCAGAATCATCACAATCATCAGTTCGCGCGTGGTGACACCTGACGAAATTGTCTGCCTTACGCACTGAACGACCAGCCGCCATTTGTGTCTGGTATGTCCGTAGTACTAAAAGATCTTCCTAGCGAGAGTATTTTACATAGTGCTAGGATTTTCCTGCAGTGCCTATCAGCTAGAAAGATCCTAGCGCCTACGACAGGATGATTCGCCTGCTTAGGATCTTCCTGGTGCTAGAATCTTCCTTCCTACATGTAAACAGCCCTTAGAAATCTAGTATAATGTTTCATTTACCCTGTGAGTTAGCGCAAGAAGATACCACAAGCCTATGACTTGTTAAATTGTATTCTTCCTAACCTAGAAGCACATATCAAATCAAGAGAAAATTTTCTCTTGTTTTTGAATACGAGCATCTGTATAATGTGGGACCATGTCAGTTGTCGATTGATATTTTCTTGTTGGTAATCAGTAATCTTTCCCGTTTTGTCGGTTGTCAGTTATATTTGTCGCCCTTTGTTGTTTGTGAAGGAAGAGCCGTGGAGCAGTTTCCCCAGATCAAGATGCAATAACCTGCACTCGGAAATAGTGTCTTCAAATAAATCTCTTACAAAGTCTCACGGGAAGGTACTTCATTCGTTTCAGAGCACCAGTCTTTTGAGCAAAACACTTTCTAACATGAAAAATATGATCAGACAATGAAAGTCCATTATCTAGGGGCGCTTTCCAAAAGTCAGAGTTGGCCGGCCGGACCATGGTCGGACCAGACATTTTGGCAATGAAATAGGCTCTTGCTATGAGATTTTACTGAAAAACCATCTCCTTTGTGCGTAAAATTTAGGATTTGACGGATCTGGATGGTTAGTTTTGATTAAAAGTGAAATTCTCATTACGATGGGAACGGGCTGGCCGGTCAGTTCTGACGAATGGAAAGCGCCCAAGGTTAACACCCAGGTAGGTTAATGATTCAACCAGGCGTATGAAACCAGACCAAAGGAGGCAGTGGGCCAATAAAAGGAGACTGCCTAATTAGCATAGCTTCTGTCTTGATTGTATATGATGTATTATGAACTGATTATTCATGCTCCACTGTAAGGACTTTGAAGGTTTTAATTTTGCAGAAAACATGATAAAACTGTCAATCAACAAAACAAAATGGACTGGTTTGTTAGCTACGACCCGCACTCTTACTCTTTGGATTTTGATTTGAATATTATAATTTCTCGCTATTAATGGATTATCTTAATCCGACTTCAAGCAACTCCTTTCCATGCAGCAGACACAACACTGCACGAACATTTTGCTCTGATGGTATAGAAGACTCTGAAGTTATAGATGGTATAGAAGGATGCGGCAGGGATGTTCTTAATTATCTTTATTAAAAATGATGTACTACTT